AATAGAAATTGCTTTACACCAGAACGCTTGGCCCAATCAGCGACAGGCCTACGATAACGAAATCCAAATGATGTTTCAGAAATCAGATGCAAACAGGGTACATTATGATGCACTACGTGATATGAAGTTCAGTCGAGGAAGAAACCAAAAGGCTCTGTAAGTGAAACATTACTTTGCATAGAATGATTAATGTCACAAACCTTACTGTGTCCAAGTCCTTGCCATTGTTATCCAATACCACGTCGAATTCTTTACCTGTGCAAGACGTAATTCAAACAAATCAAGTCTTGCAGCTGCTCGTGTATAAAATTTGTGCATATACGTGGCATGTAGATGAAAAATGAGTCTTGCTTGTATACGAGGAGCGTGTTAAAGACATAATTTTAATAATAAATTTCTCCACCCTCTAGTAGCTTAATTCACAGCCTAATATTTTATACGAGGTGTTACAATGTTACCTTCTAATACCTTCCCAATATCTGCCGGATCACCCCATACTGTAGCTCCACCAGCACTCACAATTTCCTGCAAATTTTCCAAAATCACCACGCCATTTTCCGTAATCAAACATCCAAATTTTCCATTTTTTGGGTAAATTATTAACCATAAACACTTAACTGAAAATCTGTTGAAAGGAGGCTTCTTCATCTTATCAGAGCTCTCTTCACCAACTGTAAAGATATTAACTTCATGGCCAGAATCCAGAAGCTCTTTGGCAAAGTAGAACCCAATAACCGCATGCCCACCACTATTTGTGTTCACAATGAGCACTTTCTTCTTCTCTGCTGCACTGGCCTTGACAGTAAAAGCAGATACAAAAGCTGACTTTCTTGAAACTGTGGGAAGAAAATATGGAGAAATGAAGAGAGAAGAAGTGAGAGAGTGAGAAAAAGAGGAGAGAGAAAGACGTGGAAGAGAGGAGACGGAGGAAGAAGAAGAAAGTTTTGAAGATTGAGAGGTGAAGAGAAGAGAGGAAGAGGAAGTAAGAAGAGTGGCCATGGATCTAGTGTGAAGTGAGAACCGGCAGTTTGTGATTTTTGAAGATAAAGGTCTTTTGGGCTGCAATGGATTGTTCCCTTCCTGTTGAATAGTGATGGCCACTATTCATGAATAGCGGCGCCTAATATTCGGGCTTCACATTTTCAAATTTGGCAAGATTTCTTTTTCCTTAGCATTTAATGCAAAGGTTATCTTGCATGGATTTTTCCATAGTGGCAAGACATTTTCCAAAGGAAAAAACTAAACTTACAGAACT